GGGAACGAAAAAGCGATAGTTGTGTGGGAGGATAGTGCCAAAATAGGAATAAAGGACAAGGGTGCAGTGCGGGTGGAAGAGGGGGAAGGACAGCTCCTTGAGTCTATTGGATGTTGCTATGCAGGGGAGATAGTGAAAGGTACTGTGCTTGATGTTAGACCTCCGGTTTCAAATTGGGTTCTCCATAAAATTCAGGATTTCAACAAGATGGTGGGTGTGTCATGCGATGGTTATGAGAATGAACTCATGCATTTGTTTGAGGAGTTGGAGATTCGTAGGGGACATGAGATGTATTCACCGGGAGGAAGAGCAAAAAGAAAAGGGGAACGTGAGCTTAGGCGGCTCGAATGTTCGATAAACTATGATGTTAAAGGGGGGTGTCAAAGAAAGGGTTGTTGGGAAGGGAGGATGGAGAGTTTAGATGATCCCAAAAATCATTAGTTGGAATGTGAAGGGGCTCAACGAAGTTGGGAAGAGGTTAGGAATCCGGAATATGTTAAGGTGATGGCGGGCCGATCTTGTCTGTTTACAGGAGACGAAGTTATAGGTCATCTCAAGGGCTGTTGTGAGTTCTTTATTGGGGGGGGGGAGACAACATGTTGGGTATCAATTTCTTGGAGCTTCAGGGACATTAGGAGGCGTGCTTGTCATGTGGGACCCTAGAGTGTTCGAAATGGAGGAGGTTAGTGTAAGGTTATTCTCTCTATCACTTTCCTTCAGTAATGTGGGGGATGGATTTAATTGGATGTTTAGTGAAGTTTATGGGCCAAATTCAGATGTGCATAGAAGTGGCCTTTGGGATGAACTGGCTGGTATGATGGCTTGGTGGAATTTACCAGTGTGCATCGGGGGTGACTTTAACGTAGTCAGGTTTCCTTCTGAGAGGTCGAGTGGAGGGAGATTAACAGGGGCTATGAAGGATTTTTCAAATTTTATTAGTGAAAATATGTGGGTAGATTTGCCTATGATGGGGGGGGAGGGTTTACTTGGTCATCTAATCGAAATCAATCTGTTCAATCTCGGATAGATCGATTCCTGATTAGCGGTGAGTGGGAGGCTAAGTACCCTAATGTCACTCAGAGGAGATTGGGGAGAGTGTACTCGAACCATTTTCCTATTTCGTTATCTGAGATTAGAAGGGGTAGTGGAAGAAGACCTTTTTGATTTGAAAAGATGTGGTTGAAAGTTGAAGGTTTTGGGGAGCGAATTCGGACTTGGTGGGCCTCTAATGATTTCAGGGGGTCTCCTAATTATGTTTTACACAAGAAATTGAAGGCTTTGAAGGGAGATTTAAAGAAGTGGAATGGGGAGGTGGTGGGAGACATAGACATTCGTAAGAATCAGTGTATGGCAGACATAGGAGAGTTGGACAGGCAGGAGGAGAGTCGAGGGTTGGATGGGGAGGAAAGGGAGAGGCGTGGAAGGCTAAGGGGAGAGATGGAGAAATTGGTGGAGATGGAGGAGATTACTTGGAGACAAAAGTCTAGGGTCTTGTGGTTGAAGGAGGGTGACAAATGCACAAAGTTCTTTCATCGGGTCGCTAATTCCAACCGGCGCAATAACTCTATTACATTGCTAGAGGTTGATGGAGTAACGTATGAGGATCCATAAGATATTGTGACTCACAGGTGATATTCTATCAGAATCTCTACCGAGAGCAGTTTGGGTGGAGGCCTGAGTTGGAGGGGCTGAACTTCTTCACTATCACCGAAGAGGATGCTAGTTGGGTTTAGCGACCATTTGAGGAAGATGAAGTTAGGGATGTGGTGTTTAATATGAATGATGATAAGGCCCCTGGACCGGACGGGTTCTCGTTCTCATTCTATAAGACTTGTTGGGAGGTTGTTCGATCATACATTATGGATACAGTAAATTATTTTTTTGAACGTGGCAGGTTTATGAGAAATCTTAATGCCACATTCATTGTGCTTATTCCTAAGAAATCGGGAGTGACTGATATTAAGGACTATCGTCCTATTAGCTTAGTCAGTGGGGTCTATAAGACCATTACTAAAGTTTTGGCGAATAGATTAAAAGAGGTTCTGGGGAAAGTAGTGTCTAAGTTCCAGAATGCTTTTGTGAAGGGGTGCCAGATCTTGGATTCAGTTCTTATAGCGAATGACTGCATTGACTCAAGAATACGTTAGGGGATCCCAGGGATGTTGTGTAAGCTTGATATTCAAAAGGCGTATGATCACGTCAACTGGGGATTTCTTATGTATATGCTCAGGCGATGCGGCTTCCGGGATAGGTGGTGTAAGTGGATTCAGTTCTGTATCTCAACGGTTTCGTTCTCAGTTTTAGTTAATGATAACCCTGAAGGTTATTTTCGGAGTAGTAGAGGCTTGAGGCAAGGAGATCCGTTGTCGCCCTTGTTGTTTGTTATTGTGATGGAGGCATTCAGTAGAATGATTGAGAAAGCTGTGACGGAGGGTTTGTTAGGAGGTTTTGAAAGCTGTGACGGAGGGTTTGTTAGGAGGTTTGCGGTCGATCATCTACAGGTCTCTCATTTGTTATTTGCAGACGACGCACTGATCTTTTGCGATGCAGATGATATGCAAATTAGGAATTTGCGTCGATTGCTTCTGTGTTTCGAAGCGGTTTCCGGTTTAAAGGCAAATTTGGGCAAATCTGAGGTTATTCCAGTGGGGAGAGGTTGCTAATGTGGAAGAATTAGCGGCCATACTCGAATGCAGAGTTGCTCAATTGCCCATGTCATATCTTGGGCTTCCATTAGGAGTAAAGTTTAAAAGTAAACAAATCTGGAATGGTATTCTTGAAAGGGTGGAGATGAGGTTAGCGGGGTGGAAGCGTATTTATCTGTCCAAAGGAGGCCGTCTTACTCTCATCAAATCCACGCTTTCTAGCCTTCCAACCTATTTTCTATCATTGTTTCCTAATCCCGTTGTAGTGGCAAATATTTTGGAGAAGATGCAGAGGGATTTTCTTTGAGCAGGGTTGGGGGAAGAGAGGAAATTTCATTTGGTCAAATGGGGTGATGTTTGTTCCTCTATTAGGGTGGGAGGTCTTGGTTTGAGGAGCCTTATTTTATATAACAAGGCTTTATTGGGCAAGTGGCTGTGGCGATTTGGAATGGAGAGGGAGAGTTTCTGGAGAGAAATTATTGGGGAGAAATATGGTGTCTTGGAGGGGGGGTGGTGCTTGGGTGAGGGCCGTGGTTCCTATGGGATGAGCTTGTGGAGGTATATCAGGAAAGGATTGAGCGATTTTCAGAATAGGTTGGCTTTTGTGGTGGGGAACGGTACGAATATCAGATTATGGGACGATTATTGGTGCGGAGATCAAACATTGAAAGTGCGGTTTCCCTCTTTACATCGCATTGCCCTGGAGCCTGCAGTTATGGTGAGTTCATTCCCGTGGAAAAGGGTTTGGCAAAGTAAATTACCTCCAAGGGTGGCTTTCTTACTGTGGACGGTTGTGAGGGGACAGGTGTTAACAGCAGATAATTTTCGAAGAAATGGATATTGTATAGTGGAATGGTGCTATTTGTGTAAGAGGGATGGAGAAACGATCGATCACTTATTCACTCACTGTGAAGGTGTTCGTTGGTTGTGGAATGATATTCTGGCGTCGCAACATATGAGTTGGGTATTCCCAAGGAGTATCAAGGAGGTGGTGTGGGCATGGAAAAGAAAGTTTCGAGATAAGAATAGCAAGTTTGTTTGGGATCTCATTTCAGGATGCATCGTTTGGTGTGTGTGGAGAGAAAGAAACGGCAGATGCTTTGAAGACCAAATACGGACGACAGAGCAATTTAGAGAATTGTTTTACTTGGCTTTGTATAGCTGGTTTAAGGCTGCAACCATTAGTCCGATAGAAGGGTTGTCAAATTTTTTATTGTTTCTATCTTGTTTAACCTGATAATGCACTCCTTGTGTGTTATCTTTTATTTTTGATTTATAAAATTTACGTGATTACCTATCAAAAAAAAATTAATTATAAATTAGTCTATATAAAATTATATAATTTAATTAAAAATAGATATTTTTTACAAAAAATGAATTGATAAAGAAAAAAAAAGTGTTTAAGAATAAAATTAAAATTTTTCATAGAAAATAGAAATAAAAAATAAGAGAGAGAAAGAAAAATAGAAACTAAATAGAAAAAAAATAAATTTTAAATCTTAATTGAATATACAAAAACTTTTAGAGAATTTTCATAAGTTTACATTGAATACCCCTAAATTTTTTAAAGCCCAAAAAGTCAATAAAAATCTCAATTGAATATACATATAGAGAGTGAGAGAGGCGGCTAGGATCCTAACTTTCTAATACAAGTGGTTTCAAATATAAGTGTCACCAGAATTAAACTTATTTAACATTTGTTTGACCTGGTTTATTTTAGAATTATTTTCTGTCAAACACATCTTCAACTACATATTTTCTTAATAAAACAATTTTGCAAAGGGAAAATTGCAGCCACGGTACCAAACCTTTCACATTTTTGCAGATTCTACCCAAACTTTTGTTTTGTGCCACCCACGGTACCAAAATTTTAAACAATTCGCACTCGGAGTCCAAATGGACGGTTTCCGTCCAGTTGACCGTTAGTTAACCAGGAATAGTAAATTTCAACCGATTTTGACAAAATTAAAAGGGGCAAAATGGTAACTTTGCCATTTATCTATTAAAACAATTAAAAGAAAAACAGAAAAAGAAAAAGAAAATTATCTCTCTCACTCTCTTTCTCTCCAACAACCATGGCTACTCCTCCTCTTTGGCACCACCATCGCCATCGCTAATGTGCCGGTTTGCTCCGCCATCACCGTAAATCCACTACCACAACTTCATCCACCTAGAACTCCTCACTTCCACGGGTTCATCCTCTTCCAACCTAACTCTACCTAAACCTCAAATGAAAAATCACATTCAAACCCAAAAAATTATCTCTACAGAATTAACCGGACATGGCGGAGATTTTGATTCCGACTGGTACTGGTGTTTGTTGGGACTTTTGTAGGGGGAATTTCGCCCTACTTCATGAAGTGGAACGAGAGTTTTTTGGTAATTGGGACGCAATTCACTGGTGGGGTTTTTCTGGGGAATGCTTTGATGCATTTATTGAGTGATTCTAATGAGACATTTGGGGACTTGACTGAAAAAGAATACCCATTTGCATTTATGTTGCCAAGTGCTAGATATTTGCTAACTATGTTGGCTGATTTTGTTATTTCTTATGTTTATGGGAAAAAGAAGAACAATTTTGATCCTCAAATCCAAGGTATATCATTTTTTTCTGTTCTTTGGTTGTTCCGGCAGAAGTTGTGGTGGTGGCGATTTACGGTGATGGCGGAGGACGTCGACACGTAGGCGGAGGCGATGGTGATGCTAAAGAGGAGGAGCAGCTACGGTTGTTGGAGAGAGAGAGAGAGAAAGAGAGAGAGTTTTTTCTTTTTCTTTTTTTATTTTTATTTTTCTTTTAATTGTTTTAATAGATAAATGGCAAAGTTACCATTTTGCCCCTTTTAATTTTGTCAAAATGGTCAAAATCTACTATTCCTGGTCATTTAAAGGTCAACTGGAAGGAAACTGTCCATTTGGACTGCGGGTGCGAATTGTTTAAATGATTGGTACCGTAGGTGGCACAAAACAAAGGTTTGGGCAAGTTTGCAAAAATGTGAAAGGTTTGGTATCGTAGCTGCAATTTTCCCTTTTGCAAATGGATCCATAATTTTTATTTTCTTTTTAATCATACATTCTTAAAAAAATAAAATTATTTTTCACTTCAAATAATCTCTCTTAAACAAACTGTGAGTGCTAAGAAAAAAATTGATATTATAAAAGAATGAATTTAAATTTTCTCTTGAATTGAAGAATAATGCTACATGTACATCTTCCCTTAAAACATGGTTGACATTCTCTCAATGTGGAGGAAATTTATGTAGTGATGTAATGGATAAATTTAAAATAAAGAGTATAAATGTTGTTATGTGAAAGAGTGTACATGTAAAAATGTAAGAGAGAGTGTACATGTAACATAATTGTTGAAACACTGAATTTAATTTGTTTTTAACTATTTTAGTTAATTGCTTTCTGTTTCTATCATGTTCAGGGTAAATTTCACCAGCAGAACTTTCAACGCAAAACACTTTAATCTATTTCAATTAGATGACTTAATTTAAACATAATTTCAGTTACTTCATTGAAATTTTATTTCACTTGCGGATTTCACCACTCTCTTACATGTGATTTTCCAAATAGATAAAATTATGTAAAATGACAATCATAGTATGTCCATGTTTCATGGCCATTATTTAGGAAAAAAAAACAATGTTTTGAATAATAATTTTTTGAAGAATGTGTAATTAAAAAGTAAGGAAAAAATTTAAATTTATGTGTAAAATATTTTATTATTTGAATGTGATAGAAAATGATTAAGAAAATTAAAGAGTTTTGGAATAATGAATGTAAAAAAACAAGGGCTATAATAGAGATTTATCTAATCACTAGAGGGGCATGCCAACTTACACCTATGCTACGCTATCAAATGTTAAATAAAAATAAAATAAAATCATGAATTTTAACCTTTTTAATGTAAACTACAACTTTCACTTTACAACTTTCACATATATAGTGCCACGTAATGATTTAGAATACAATTATGGTGTTTATGCAAATTAAGTAATTTCTGTAAGTTTGAAAAACGATAATTGAAAAGATGTACATCATGTACATGATAGTAAAACTTAAAACGAAAATTGTACTCCAATAACCCAATTGAGACGTTAAGGGTCCGTTTGGTTTGTAAAACGTTTTTAGTTTTGAGTTTTGAATTCATTTTCAGTTTTCTATTTTGAGATTTTGTTTTAAGATTGCTAAAAACGCGTTTGGTTTATCGTTTCGAAAAATTATTTCTTAAAGCAAAAAACTAGAAAACATGTTCGGAACTTGGTCTAGGGTTCCCATTGCAATTGCTATTCTCTTTATTTCCTCCCCCCGGCCGCAGCTGCTAGAAGCCAAGTTGGTTACCCTAGCACATAAAGACTAGACTTCTCTAAGCCTATGAAGGTTTCCATTTTTATTTGACGGCTTCCCTAGTACCGAAGCCTACGCTTGCTTCCCTTAGACCAAGGGGCTCAAGCAGGGATATGCGGGATGGAAAGCATAAAAGGCTTAGCTTTGTTTCATAGCTTCCTAGAGTACATAAGACTTGGTACACTTAATAAAGGAGAACACCGGTGCTTTATTTCATGAAACTTATATTCGATAAAAATAGAATAATTTTATGTTAATGTATTATCAATAAATAAATACATTTTAAAGTCGGTGAATTTTAAAATATTTGTTCTCAATACAAAAGTATGAACTGAGAATTTTTTTTATTTGTGTTTATTTACATATTCTTTTAGAATTTTTAGGTAAATAATCATTAAGAGTTTGAACTATTTTTATTTTTTATAATTTTTATTTTTCTTCAATTTTATTTTTATTATATATATTTTAGAATTTTATATTTTAAATTTTAAATTTATTTTTCAAATTTTTTATTTTTTAGAATTTATCAAATTTATTTTTCTGAATTTTATTTTTAAAAAATTTATGTTTTAGAATTTTATTTTTTACAAATTTTTTTATTAAAACGTTTGTTTTCCATGTTTAGAGTGTTTTCTGAATTCTCACTAAAAATACTCATAACGTCAAAATTGTATTTTGAGTTTCATATTATAAATTTAACTATTTTCAAAAATGCATTTTCAAAAATATCAGACTAAACACATTTTCAATATTTTACAAAATTGAAAACAATTTGAAAATAGTAAATCAAATGCAATCTAAAAATTTTGGTAATCCAATAGAGATTTCAATAGAAGTTCAATGATCACAAACAAAATTTACTTATGATTTTCATCAAAAAATAAAATAAAAATAAAAAGATGCCAAAATCAATTCCATACTTGGTGTATGTTTGACAAAGTTTAAATTATAATTTAACCTAGCCAAACGTACTCTACACATTTTGTATGACTAAAAAGTAACAATTGGCGGTGGCAACCAAGCCGAGTGGCTAGTCGGCTCGGCAAAAACGAGCCCGAGCATGACCCGAGCAGGCTGGTTCGCTACTAGACGAGTTGCTCGACAAGCAGCTTGCCGAGCAAAGGCTCGTGGGCTCGTTTCGATGAGCCCACGAGGCACAAGCTGGCTCGTGGCTTGTGACTCGTAAATAATAATAATAATAAAAATTAAAATTCAGTGACCAGAACAGTTACTGAATTAAATTCAGTGACCATTCTGGTCACTGGACCGAAACGGTCACTGAATTTTCAGTGATCGTTTCGGTCCTTTATAATTTTTTTCCATTTCATTTTTCTTCCCTATAAATACTCATTCATTACAACATTTTTTCTCATCAAACTTACTATCAATCTCTCATTCTCTACTCTACTCTCTACAATTTATTTACAAATCATTATCATCATTCTATAATCTATATTTTCTACATTTTATTTTTACATTGTCGAGTTATAATCTTGATTTTACAATTTATTTTCTACACTATTACATAATGTTCATTTACTTCTCAATTCTACTTAAAGTCTTCAACATTCAATTTCAATTATTTACAAACGGATCCACGATTGTTTGTTGAAAATTTGTTCGATGTCAGAGGCGAAACACCTGCCCAAAGTCAATTTGGGAATGAATTCACCGATCTAAATGATTTACCCATTCCAGAAAATATTCAAGATTTTGACGTTCATGAAGGTAGTTATCTAATTGATTTGGATGACGTTGATGTTGATATTAGTCATCCAATTGATTTGGAACAGGATAAAGAACATGCATTAGATATTTCTGATGCAAGAGGGAAGAGAAAGAGGAAGAAGCAGGCAAAATGTTGGGACCATTTTAAATTGGTTCTGTGATACCCCGAACTTAAGCTTCGAGTGTCACGTACTAAACATAATAACTTCTGCATTTGCTACATGTAAAAACTCTTAAATAAAATGTAATACATACTGGAAACTTATTTTCAATTTATAGTAAAATATCTCTATAAAATTTAATGGCTAGCAGAAGTGCATGCTGACCTGAAAGTATTCCTTACATATACGAACTCAGTGCTGAAACAACTAATTGGGGCAGCCAGTTTAAATCTTTTTATAAAATTCATCCCCAACTCCATTTTCTATGAAATCTGCAGCATTTGAAAGATATTTCCAAGTAGTTTCCTATGTTAAAATATGGAAAATTTTCAAGATACTATGATATAGACGTTTTACTAAGACATGGAAACTTAAGATTGACTTTTCGACGCTTAAAAATTTATAACTCAGACCACATATATCCAAATTTCGTGATTTTTGTGCTCATATTAAGACAACTCTAAGAGGAACGTGGGAGTTTTTTTAGAGTCTCAAATAGATGTTTATAGAATTAGTAATA